AGTCAAGTATTTGAGTTCAACATGTAAGAAGTAGAAAGTACAGGTATTTGTGTTCAACATGTAAGAAGTAGAAAGTTGTCAGAAAAATAAGTAGTGGAGTAAAGTATTGATACCAGAAAAATGTGCTTGAGTACAGTACCGAAGTATTTGTACTCCACTTCTTCCCACCTAGTTGTTAATTAACATATTAGAGACAAACTACTAGCTTATTGGTTATGAACAAGACTTCACTTTAGAATAGGGAACATTTTCTTCGTTAGAAATACCACATTTTGAGTTATTTTGACACAATTAACACTTGTAGTTTCATGTCTTGTTACATAAGTATAGACCATATTTGTAAAGTACTGATACCAGCAATGTTCTTAAGTACAGTAACAAAGTATTTGTACTCCACTTCTTCCCACCTCTGCAATACAATGTCCGGTGTGTCTAAAAGTGATTCTTATTTTTTTAAATGTCTTCCAGGCTCACTGACTCTCCACCACTGGCAACAACTGGCCCAACCTCACCTGGCCACCATCTTGGATCCTCACCCAGGTGTAGTGACGAAGGGTTTCTGCCCCTTGGCTCAAGATGCCGTCTTCAACATGTCAGACATGGAGGAGGATGAGGAGGGTGAAGAGCGCAGGAGTAAACAGGAGAAAGGGGCGGCAGAGCGAGGTAAAGAAGAGGAAGAAGAGGAAGAAGAAGGCGGGATAACCTTCAAAGTGAGGGTTTCATCTACACCGAACGACAGGAAGTATTCGGATTCACCACTTCCTGTCCCGCCTCCCTCCCCCGAATTACCTTCACCTTCTCCTTCTTCTTCCTCCTCTGTTAAATCGGACCTCTGTGTGACTCATCTCGTCTCCAGCCAATCAGCGCAGCCCATTACAGGGACATGTGCAACAGTGGTCCAATCACAGAGTCAGATCTGCATCTCCACGACAACGACTTCTTCTAGTAAGTACTACTTGAAAAATTCAAAATATATCAGAATCAGAAACAGGTAGGTTTACACATACGAGGAATTTGACTTGATGTCATGGTGCATACATAAAAGAATATTAGAAATATAGCAGTATTTACATAGAAATAGAATAGAATAGAATTCGGCAGTAATAAGGAAAAACAAAAAAACACTTTTATGTGTTATATATACTATTACATTTGTGCTACTTTATATTACATACTTCCCTATGTATACATGTTTCTGCTACTGTAGTATACCTTAATAATAGCCGTTTATTGACTTTATTTTATTCAGTTAATGAGTTATAAGTTGTGCATAATTACAGCTCTTTGTGTGTTTTAGTCCAAAATCCAGGGAAGTGCCAGAGCTCCACCTTCTCGACCTACACCTTCACGACGTGTAGCATCCTGCACCCGAGCGACATCACACAAGTCACCTCAAGGTAAGGACAAAGAGAACATTTAATTCATACTTTAATAGGAGAGTAGAGTAAGCTATCCTAATACATATATGAGAAGAAAAGCACACATCAGTAGTCAAATCGAAATGAAGACAACAAAGTAAACAACCAAATGAGTAGCAGCAGTTAAAAACCAAACAAGTGACATAACTTTTGTTTCTTCATGTTTTTCCAGTTCTCAGTCGTCCATCATGGCCAACACTCCCAGCTCCATGAGGACGGGTCCCAGTACTCCAGTGACTCCGTGCAGGCTGAGTTTAGGCGACTGTTTCCCCGCCCGTCGCCCTCCTGTACCCACCAGAGGTCTGGCTAAACTGGTCCTGGAGAGAGGCATTTCTGCACAAATCTCCATCGACACGCCTCCTCCATCTCCAAAACCTACATCCAGACAGCCTCTGTTTCGTCTCCTCCCAGGAACGCCTCCTAACTCCCCTTCTCACTCTCGATCCCCCTCTCCTGTGCCTCATGAATCACGTCAACATCCCGCCGATAATTTCCTCGTTTCTCGGCCCGCGGAGCTTTTCCTGCAGGACGTTTACGGGTTAAATCTGGGTCGTGCTCCACATCCAGATTTGCCGAGTCCCTCCCAGGAAGCTCCAGCTCGCGCCCCTTCCCCTAAATTGGGTCGACCTAGGCCTGATCTCGGCTTAGTGGAGAGATTACGACGACTCGGATTCGCTAAAGTGCTCCAAGGATCGAAATCCGACGCATCAGCACCACGACAGGATTGTTCTACGTTTGTTTCAGCAGGCGGTGGAAGCCTATTGGACGGTTTGAGGCGGAACCAAAGTCTCCCAGCTATGATTGGTGCCCGAGCAGCGAAGTCAAACCCAACTCTTCCTCATCCTCCTCCTCCTCATCCTACAACCCTCGCTCTCCCCCCTTCTCCCTGGGGAAACCCCAAAGAACGACGCCGCCATCTTGGCTCTGTCTCCCATGTCCCGTCATCCAAACGTTGATCGTCCAGAACATAAACAAACCTTCTTTAACACCTCCATCTTCTTCTTCCTCCTTGTCTGCCTTTTGGAGAAAATAGTAATGGCGGAACAATCCCTCCTTTTTATGACTTATTTTAAAGCACAATTTAAACTGAACCGACTGTTTTTAGCGATACCGCCGCAGTGTCTGTGTGTAGCTGTTTGCCATGATGCTAGTTACCGAGGCCTTAGTTTTTGCCTGCGACTGGGTTTTTTCCACATCTTGATACCTTCTCAGTCATTTTTAGTATTTATATATTTTTCCCACGTGGCTCTGGATGTTCAGGTAAAGGTAGACGAGGGACATGTAAGTGGACGAAGGTTTGTGGATGTGGATTGAAGAAGAACGAGTTATTACGAAGGTACGAAAAGGAAGGTTTTTTTGTTAATAATGTAAAAAGGGAAAAGTAAGTGAAAGAGAGACGGAACATCCAGAGTTGCTATTCCAAGGGCTTGTTCTGTTGGTTGGAAAAGTCTGTACTATCATCTGCCCATTTTAAAGTTGATGGTTTATCTGAAAATAACCAGTCACAAAAGAAGGGAATAAACATTAGGGCTTCGGATAACAAATATTTCCTTTATAGTTTAACCTGCCGATTGTTTTCTAGATTGATCGATTAATGGTTTGGTCAATAAAATAGTGAAAAACCTCCCTGTCAGATTCTCTAAATTCAAGATGATGTCTTTCACCTAATTCAAAACCACCTTTTAATGATACAAAACTGAAAAAGGAGGACATTTTCTGTCATTTTTCGCATGAACAATAACCATCCATTATTTTTCTGTGGATCAAAGTTCACAAATGTTCACCGCTTTATTCAACGTGCTTCTTTAACTTGAGGATTTTAAGTGCTAGCTGGCTTCATAGCATACTGCCGGGCTAATATTCAAACCATGCTATTGACATGCCGGTATTATTCATATTATTATGATTTTACAGTAGTCCAAATTTGTTGCACGGATGTTTTGTTCATCGCCCATGTGCCATGCCTCTTGCTACTTTGCCTACAAGTCCCAGCATGCATTTCGGGCGAAGTCCCTCCCTTTCCGGTGGACCTCCATGGGACCTTATTTCGGAAAAATGATGTATTGAAGTCATTGGCGAGAGAAAGATTATCTTTCGATCCCGTTTGAATTGTGCCACAAATTACACATATGATGTTTGTCAATTTTTAAAACATAATTTTGCAAGTCAAAAAAAAGAAAATATGTCGTAAAACTGAAGTAACACTTTTTTTTTGTGAAACCGCTCAATGAACTACATCTCCCATCTCGCACCACACACCAAGACGGCCGTCACGTTGGAACATTTCACTTCTTTCTTTCAGAATGAGGTGGAAAGTATTAAAAGAGGTGAAAATCACTCCAAGTCTGGGCATGTTGAGAGCTGTACACACACACAAGGGGAGTTAGTCGGTTCCGTGAGAGCCAGCATGCGGGACCGGGACTCTGGGATTTGTAGTCTTTCTAGTTGCGTATTTTTCATAGTCTTATATTTCAACAGTTTTACGACAAACTGTGACTTTTTTGACATGGAAATTATTTTTTAAGATTGACAAACATCATATGTGTAATTCGTGTCACAATTCAAACGGGATCGAGAGATAATCTTTCTCTCCCCATTGACTTCAATACATAATTTTTCCGAAATAAGGTCCCAATGGTCGGAAGTAGATGGGCGGGACTTCACCTATCTATCATACGCAAGGCAAAAACAAAAAGGGTCTGTCTTTTCCTTCAGGTCATTGTGTTTTTAAATTGTAAAAGGCCTTAAGTAGAAGCCAGTACTGTTATAATATATTTCCCTGCTAAGCCATGTTTGTATTATATTATTTGCACTTGGAGTTTGTGTTAAGTTGAGGGTCACTGATTGGTTGAACATATTTTAAAATAGATTTGAAGAAAGCTCTGACACTTAGTTTAGGTTACTAATGTGTATGGAAGAGTATTAAGTGCAGGCATAAGAGTGGAATAATTAGAATAGGAAGTATTTCTTTGGTTTTTCAACATTTTGACTTGATATCTACCTTAATGTAACTATTTCTCCCCCCTGCTTATGCCTGGACCTTATACTATTTTATAGATTTGGTTGTTTTCTGTTTAACAATTGTGTTATATTATTAGTTTACACCGGCCAAAATCCACTCAGCTCCAACTCTGCACTTTTACTTTTGTATTTACCTTTGTTTTACTGACACCACTATTTGAAGTATAACATTAATTTAGCATAATGTGTGCCTGTTGTAACACTATCAGCTAACATTAGGACTTACGGTTTTAATATATGTAGCATTTTTTATTTTGCTTTCCACATGAAGAGGTTAACAGAAGGGAATCGAGATGAGGCCGAACAGTAACACATATTTACAGTATGACATGCTTTTGTGCTAATTAGCTGCAACATCGTCAACAAATGATTGATTGGATTTGAGAGAAGGAACATACAGACAGGTCTTATCATAACTCAAATATAAAATGTCCTCTCCTTTCTTCATGCCTCCCTTTTTAAGAATCATAATCCTCTGTAAGCTACTCATGTCTGTTTTTCAGTTGCCTCGTTTTTTAAATAAAGCAATGGAAACAAAAAAGCCACTGAGTCACCAAGTTGTTTCTTTATTACTCATACTTGTTAGAAGAAGTAGTGAATATGTTTGCTTCGAGTGCATTGAAAATAAGAACAAAAGCATCAGTTGTTTTGTCCAATTCAATAAGCATTAGCACACGGTCAATGGTCATATAAAGCCTAGAGTAATAATATGTAAATTGCAACTGCTGAAACTCTGAGAGCCTGTGAAAAATATGTGTTATTATTTGCGTAGTAAACTAAATTTTAAAGTAGTCAACGTTAGTACAAATGACTCACAACTCTGTCTCGTGACTCAC